CTTCCAACAAGACGGTGCCACAGCTCACACAGCGAGAGCATCAATGGAATGTGTTCGACAAATGTTTCCTGAAGATGTGATTTCCCGTTTCGGCGATGTTCTTTGGCCTCCACGCTCCCCAGACTTGTCTGCATGTGACTTCTTTTTGTGGAGTTACCCTAAGGCTAAAGTGTACCCTCACAAACCCCGTACGTTACAGAGGAACTAAAAATTGTTATTCGTCAAGAACTCGCAAGAATACCGCAAGAAATGATCCTACGTGTAATGCACAAATTTCAAGAGCGGTGGAGATGTGCAAGCGCGAAGAAGGGCGACACTTGAGGACATGATTTACCATAATTAATTCAAAAGTGCACTATTATTACTTTATTTAGCTGTAGTTCCAACTGCGCCAGAAAATTTATTGATGAAGCTAAAATAAAAATTATGGAAAACGCAAATTCATTTCAAACACGTAAGGGCAATTTTATTAGAACATGTCGCTTGTGTAAAGAAAATAATAGAGGCCATTTCGAACATGTTCTTTAAAAGGAAGTTAAATTAAATTATCTTCCACCTTTGTCGGTAAATCGCCATAAATAGGTTCAATAGGTTCTGTACTTGTATGTGGTAAGGACTCTATGCATTTCTTACGCTTATGGCATCACAACAACGAATGTGAGATGATACACTCATCGTAGCAAGCCGAAATTTTCAGGGTTTATTCTACATGGATTTAAATAGTCTTTACAATAAAATGAATAATGAAATACAACCTAATTTCTTTACCGCTCTCCACAGTTGCGGGATGGAAGAGATTTTTCAAAAAGAAATTAATTTAAAATTTTTTGCGTTGATTTCTTATAAGCTCTCTTAAAAAAGTGACATAACCATTGCTAAAACTAACCATTTAGCTCATCTCAGAAAAAAATCACATCCCTAAACCTTATGGTTTGTAATTGCGGTTGAAAGTTCATTATTACGTTTTTTTCGAAATTTCACAAAATTGCAAATATCTCCTGAGCTATAAAATTTCGGACACATACAAGGGTTCATTCGATAGGTATTGAGGCCCTCTATCACCTGACGTCCGTTGATCCACTACTAACCATACACCCTGTATAAATACGTTTTTATCCATCTACTGATTTTCAGAAACATCCCTTAGACATTTTTTCAGAGTATGAAATCATTACAATTCTCATGGAAATCAAGTTCTGGTCAAATTGGCTGATGCTGATACATATCGTCTATACTATTTTGAACAAAAGTCTCTGTGGGCAGAAGGTTCAAGTATCAATGATTTTCAAGTTACCAGGTGCCCAAGTCATCGAAATATTGATCAAAAATAGTTCCCGCTTAAATTGGCTGGAATTTAAATATGTTATCCTTCATATCTTTTTGATCAAAAGGCTTCCTGAGCATAAGGCTCTGATACGACTCGTTTCCGAGTTACAGGTACGCCATCAGTAGAGCAAATTTAAAGAAATTATTTAGCTAAAAAAGCCAGAGTGATCCTATGATCTCTTTGAACGTTGATTAGAACAGCTATACTTTTGAGCCATCTACAGGATGATGGCCGGTTATTAGCTGCAATTTTAGATGTTCTTTCATTCGCTGTCAAATGATCCAATTTGTTGTATATCCTGTATTTTTATACACTTATGAATTAGCGGTTGGCGAATTACAGGATGAGCAAGCATGATGAAATCACGGTTTAATAAGTAATAACTAGATCATTGCATTTTGGTTTAATTAAACTAGTTTCATAGATTCAAGTAAGCTGTTTTAGAAATCGGAGTTTATCTATGCTAATTAAACTTCTTAGCTGTGACATAGTTAATTTTTTTAATCACTTTGATTTGTTTAATTAATCTCACCCTTCATATACCACCTGGGGAACCCGATGTGTTAGGTTCCCCTTCGGTTAAACAGTATGTCTGGACTGTTGATAACGTGAAGTGGGGCTGTCTACGTTAGTTTGGAAACATTACACTTGTTTACCTTATTTATTGATGATGTTGTGCATTATTTAAGTTGTAATAAACTCCTCTTTGCAGATGATTTAAAATTATTCGGGATTATTGAGTCTGACGATGATTGTATTGCACTTCAGCGGGATATTGATTCTTTAGTGACTTGGTGTTACGTATTTCTTGATCCGTCTAAGTGTAGTGTAGTTAGCTTTTCCAGGAAAACTTCTGGTTCTAAATTTAATTATAAAGTAGGGGATGTTTACATAAATAGTTATAACTTAATTAGGGATTTGGGTGTAGTTTTTGACCATAAACTTAATTTTTCACTCCACATAGCTCAAAAGGTGGGTGAAGCTTCGCGGGCGTATCGTTTTATTGTGAGAAACTGCAGAAGCTTTTTAACCGCCCAGAGTCACTGTTGGTTTTGTATTCTGTATATATTAGATCGAAATTGGAATATGCATCATTAATTTGGAACCCAATTTACAACTGCTACATTGATTCTCTTGAGCATGTTCAGAGAAAGCTTATACAAATTTTATGTTTCAATCTTGACGGTACGTGTCATGTGCGTGGTATATATACTAAGTGACATATAAATCCGAACACCCAGTTTAAATGGTTTTATTTTAATAAAATTTTGTATAAGTACTTAATGAAGCATAATAAGTAAATGATAAAAATTTCAAAATGATTGCACTGCTTTAAAGCCCTTTGACCTTTAATAATGTGTGGATGCACCCTGATGTGCTACGCATTCTCCAACGCGCCTAGGCATGCTTCTGATCAGGTGGTCAATGTCCTCCTGTGGTATCTCATTCCAGGCAACCACCAACTCCTCTCGAAGTGCTTCTAGAGTCTGAGGAGGACGTTGCAAATTGAGCAATCTCCTACCCATCATATCCCACACGTGCTCAATTGGGGATAAGTCGGGAGATCTTGGTGGCCATGGTAACAATGTGACATCATTATGTTGAAAGAAGTCTATTGTGACTCTTGCAACAGGTGGTCGGGCATTATCTTGTTGGAAAGTTGGATCTGCCAGGGTGTCAAGATAGGGTAAAAGATGGGGTTCTAGAACTTCGTGGATATAACGCTGCGCGTTCATGTTACCTCTGATGAAGATTAAAGGTGACCTGGAACCATAAGCTATAGCACCCCAAACCATAACTCCAACAGTGTGATGAACATGTCTTTCAACAAAAAACTGTGGATTCCTCCTTTCACCACGTCGCCTTCTAACCCTGGCACGACCATCGTGCATGCCTAAACAAAATCGAGACTCGTCACTAAAGACAATACTGTTCCATTCCTAATCCCAGAGTGACCGTTGTCTGCACCACTCAAGGCGATTACGTCGGTGTTCTCGAGTTAAAGGGAGGACCCAGTGTGGCCGGTATGAAAACAAGGCAAAACTTCTCATTCGTCGGTAAACACTTCGCATGCCAATAGGTCTTCCGTGTTCTGCAAACCATTCATTTGCAATGGACCTGGTAGTGGAGAAACGGTCCCTTAAGGCCAATAATCTTAGGCGGGGATCTTCACGGTCTGTTGTTCTACGGCGGCGTCCAGTGCCCCTTGCTCTTTGCGTACGACCTTCTCGAAGCCATGCCTGACAACACCTAACCACAGTGTCTACACTTCTTTGCACTCTAACTGCAATTGCCCGAAAAGAAAGTCCAGCTTCCCGAAGTCCCACTATACGGCCCCTATCAAACTCACTAAGTTGACGAAATCGTACAGGTCTCCGTACTCTAGGCATCGTAACCGATCGTAAAGGATGTCAAGAACCAAAATCCGCCAACGTTGATTCTTTACTGCGGCTGAAATATTCATTTTTAGAGCGTTAGTGAATTAAAAAAAAGCAGTATAAAAACCGGAATGTCCAACTGATAAGGCTGAAAATGTTTTCACTTGTTATTTACAGTAAGATAAATATATTCACCAACTTTTATTCAAAAAAAAACCATTTAAACTGGGTGCTCGGATTTATATGTCACTTAGTATATGTCTATCTGGAAGGTTGTTTCTAGGTTTCAAATACAGTCTTTAGAGCTGAGAACGAAGTGTGCGTGAATTATGTTCTTGAATAAGCTACTGCACAATCAGATTGATGCTAATGAGATTGTGGCTCAACTAAACTTTAATGCTCTATCTATTCAACTCGTACAGCTAAAACCTTTGAGTGTGCCAGGGCTCGCACAAATTTGTTTTTGAAGGCTCCCATATTATGTGATGTGTGAATCTTTCAATGCGATATCAAATTATTGTGATATACATGCTGATATGTTTTTTGCTTGTTTGTTTTTTTTCTTCAGATGAAATCACCTGCTTTTTGTGTGTTTTCTGTTTTTGTTAGTTTGATTTATCTTAGGATTGTCCTGTAAATGGTTTCCTTAACCTTTGGGCAATAAACGCTATTTATTTATTATTTATCTATGGCTAAATCCATAATCGAAAAACCGTCAGAAGTTTTGGCTCTGCTCTTATTGCTCTTCATGGCAAGCGTCCAGTAGAACCAGTCTTTCAACTTCTCCAGTGTCTTTCTGATGCCAAAATGATCACCTGGTGCTGCGGCCATGTAGTTGAACATTCCTGGTTACCTATCTCTGATTTACATGAAGCACATTACGACAAGTACGCTCCAACTACGGGGCTCATGGCTAATGTTTCCTGTGCACTGGGATTGCTTCATTGCAGTAGCCACGGAATAACTAACAGTACAGAATGTTCTGTTTGAGCGTGTCCAAGATCTTCTAAGGAAATATTAACTTCACCAAGATAGTATTCTTCTATGCATAGAGCATTCCTCCTAGACACCAGATGTTTTTCTATATTTATGCGGTTCTCTTCCTCAGCGTTACGCTATTCCTTCAAACGTCGTTTTCCCTCGGGTCCGCGCAGACCCTTTCCACAGTTTCGCGTTTTTTGCATTTTTTTGCGCGTTCTTCTTTACGCTTCTTCTTTTCTAGTATTGGGGCTTGACGACCTGACAATCGTTGTACATCAACGACAGCTATTCTATCAACAAGTCATGTGTTTCAGGTCTGCTGCGCGAGGAAGCACGTTTACCAAGACCTTGAACTCATAAGCGAATGTTGCCAGCAGGTAAATTCTGCTATTCTCAATGGACATCCCCAGAACGTAGCTTCAAGGCAGGTTTTCTAAAATACTTGCAGCAGAATCCCGTAACATGGAGATCAGTACACAAGCATTTTATTCGTCTGACCAGTTGGTGATCTTAGCGATGTTTTCAAACAGGATATGATATATATAGGCTCCAGGATGTTGTAACATCGTATGGATACGGTTTCTCCACTACCCCTCTATGCCTGTCTGCTAGAATAGGTACTAGAAATGTCAGATCACATTCATCTGCACTAAGATGTCGTAGTCTCTCGTCGATCATTTCTCTTACGTGAACCTCTCTACCTACTGTAGCCGTTTTTAAACTTGTTATTGTGACTGTTGCAATTGTTGTTCTACGTGTTCCTCTACTGATCATATTCGCTTTTCATGATCTATTATGGACTGTCATTCTGCTCAGATACACTCTACATGTTTGCTGTGTTCTTGACGCTGCAGGTTCTCTTTAAGGCCTGTTATTGACTCGTCCTGGCGTTTTAGCTCTGCAACTGCTTCTTCTAGGCTGCACTTCAGGTCGGCAACTGCTTGCAGATGACTTTTGTTCCTGCCTACTGTGAACGTTCACTACGGTTTGATCATGCTTCATTATAGCTTGCTCTTGCTTTATTATGGCTTGCATTTGCGTAGCCGTAACTTGGTCTCGTTTCGCATTCATTTCTTGAAGCATTTGCACCATAGAGTTCATATCGGAAGCCATAGCTTTGATACTAATTGGAATTTAGTGACCGATTTCCGACGAACCTCTCACCAGTTGCTGCTCCGGGGATTTACGAAAATCCCACTTCTCTGACACGAACACTAATACGCATAGATGATCTCTAGATGGACGCGCCAGTGGCTCTCCATTCCTCAAGGGATGATTTCGATGCAGAGTCCTTCGCTGGATGATCGGCGGTACACCAAGAAACAGTGCTTCGGAATAATCCTTTGCCCACTATTTTTGGAAGTTAAAATGAAATACTTATCGCCGGTTTATGTTTTATTCGCTCCAAATACCACTCCACACTGCCATGTATACCCTAGTAACATAAAAATATCACTCTCTAGAAAACTCGAGAACTATCGACCACTATGAAAGTGAAAACAGCTAGCTCTATCTTGGAATTGTATGCCAGTTCGTATTGTGAGCCGGGTGCCGGGCCACTGTTGCGGTCGCTAGATGCCGCTGATTCTGGCGCTACAGTAGATACAGTCTACTCGCCATTGAACAAAATAGAAATATAGATTTCATTCATCCCACCGCAGACGCCCAGCAATGGACACCTGTTTCGTGTTACTCTGCAACTCTTCAGCATGGTGTAGGCGTGGTCTCCGTAACATACTACCTCACAACTAACTGACAACATACCCAATCTAATATTTGACAACACATTACGCATCTTGAAAGGTGACATTACGTCGATTTTTTTTGGCATTGTATTGGTTTTTTGTGACACTATGTAGGTTTCTCTACAAGATGTTAACTTAGCACTAGCTGATGGACACTTGTTGTGAACTCGTTTTGTTGAACGTGTTGTCTAAACGTCATGTAAGTTGTATACTTTAGCTAGAAGGAAACGGCAATGCATAAGTGCATAGTGAGGATCTGTGTTGATGATAATTCCATTGGATTCTTGTCAAATTCCTGGTTGGTAAAGGAACAGGTGATAAAATATGCTACAGGCAGGAATATTTATAAGAGTTACTTTTTATTTCGAGTCATTTAAATTTTATAGAAATTTATTTTGCGATGTCAATAGAAAATACAAATCAGGGACTAGATGTGAGGCATTGCGAAAATACTTGATGTGTGAGAGAAATACACATAATACGTGTAGTTGAGTCATTCCTCCATAGATGGACACTCACAACAATCCTAGTGAGCAAACGTGGAGGAAATTTTTGTACTCTAAAAACTACCTAGTCTGCAAGATGACCTTTTAGATTTTTTTGTTGACGTTTTATAGGTTTTCTACATAATACCCGTGCGGAACTCAAACTGTGACCTAAAGCCACCGCACTATACAGGGTGTAATATACTATAATTTTAGTTAATTTAACAGTTTACTTTCCACTTCCGCCTTTATGGAGAAAATCAAAAGCTGAGGCTGAAAGCAGGACATCCAGTAGAAGGTTCATCTATTACTTTTTACTCAACGACCGAAAAAACTATAGAGTCATGCTGATATGTTTCTGGCGAAATCAAATCATTTTTATTGCTTCCCGCAACTCGAAGACCATTGATACATAGCCTTCTGATTATGAAGACATTTGATCTAAAGGCTACGTAGAATAACATACCAAATATTCTAGCCAACCGTGAACTATTTTTCATCAATATTTCGATTGATTTCCGCATCCTGAGAACTGCAAGACATGATAAAAAAATATGAAAATCGGCAGACACCCGGCATTATAGGAGCTGCTAAGTTTCTAAAAATCACTGGCCAAAGAAATCATAAAATCATGTTGAAGTCTGTTTCCGAATTTATTAAGCCGAATAAACTCTGTAACCCAAAAACCAATAATATTGGGACAATAGTGTTCATATTGGTATGGAGAATAACATACCAAATTTTATCCAATTTCGGCGACAGTCATTTTCGCCATAAGGAATACGCCATCTCCTTTTTAGTAAAATAACGAATTTTTTACGTGAATGGATATCATTCGATGGAAGACATCAGGAGAAAATAGAAGCCCCAGGCATGTGTTTCTATCAATCCATCAATTTACATCTTGATTCGTGAACTAGTATGAGTTTACGTGTCGCTACAATAATGTTTTGCCATTAAAAACATACTTATTCTCACTAACATGCTCATGACGGTTCCGTGCCCTGTCACATGCGGCACCAGAGCTGCTTTCCAGTAACCTAGTTGAGTTACTCAGAGTTACTCGGAGCAACTCAGTAGTGCTAAACACCATTATGGTTCATATGCAGTTTATATTTCCATGCACATTTTGTAGAGCAGTTTGGGTGCATGTCACTTTCAAACCAAAAGCACCAACGGCGTCAGTGGCAGTCGCAATACCATTGCTGACTTTTTCTAATCAGATTATTCCTCGGAAGCTTCCTTAACTGAAAATGTGCATAGCACATCAGCGGAATCTCTCGAGATCCTGCATTGCACACAAGCAGAGTTTCAAGGTCATATTAAAAACCTCAAGATGCGTAAAGAACCAGAGGAGAGTCAAATCACCAATACGGCGGTGAAGCTGCTTTCCCGGTAGTCCTTGACTTATCTCGTGGCAATAATAGAGGCCGTGCAGTACTTCCCATCCGTGTTGTAGACCGCTGAATTTATAATTATTCAAAAGAATGGTGGGTTCGTTATTTCCCCAGGATTATCGTCTCATTAGCTTGCTGTGCTTCTACCTCGCCTTGAGAATTTTTCGTGTGATTACATGTGATTCCTAAGGTGCAATTCGATTTTTGGTCTGAGTATCGTTCGAAATTACTGGCATTGAGGCTGATGGAACGAGTAACCCGAGGATTTACCCGTAATGAAAGTACTGGCATCTTGCGCCTTCTCTTTTGATTTCTGACTAAAATTAACCATTCGAAAACCTGGGCAATATATTGCACGAAAAGAGGTCGTGGCGCTCCGTTTGAAGTTTTAATGAATAGCGTTCGTATAGCAAGGGAAATCGCTAAGTATCTCGGTGTCATTCTGGGCAAACGAATAACTTAATTCCAAATTGCGTGTCAGCAGCTTTTCCCATTATTATGTAAACCTCCAAAATTAAGTTTGATTAACAAGATTCGGCTCTACAAGGTAGTTGCACTTGTGCGGCTTGGTGCTATGTTCCAAAACACACATCCGAAATCTGCAACTTCTGCAAAGCAGAACGTTGCGCACTGTTACTGCCTCACCATTGTACGCGTCTAACAAAACCCTTCACAGAAGAATTACATTAAGCAACAGACGAAGCGGCATTATATCCATACGGAATCGCATAGCAACCCTCTGATCTCCGAGTCAATGGACTATGCAGCCGAGCAAGTTCGCAAGCACAAAAGGACGCAACCCTCACTGTAATCAAATTTAATTCGTGAATTTAGAACAATCATTTTGGCAATACCCCTGACAAAAATCAAATATTCTTGCACCATATCAAAATTTATCAAGTGATCTTAACAATGCCTAGACGCTCCTTGATTACCTTCTTCATCGTTGCTCTCTCCATTCCTTCTGTTGCTCTCTCCTTTCCTTCCCTCATTTTCTTTCCTTTCTCTTTTAACATTGTCTAGTTTCTGGCTCACTAGACATGATAGACTTACAAACTGACTCTATGGCAGAGCTGAGGTCTTACCAAGCGCTCTGACAACCAAAGATGACTTGACTTAAGCTAAGACGACTGGAACGCAGCTCAGGACACAGCATATTTCTATTTCAGCAATAATTTAATGTGGAAACAGATTATTGTTACATTATACGAGCTCACGTACTATCACCCAAGATCACGTTACTTGAGGAATATGTGGAATCCTGCTTATGCACAGACGTTTACGTATCTAGGAACATACTGTTGTCACCTTCACATGCACTCGTGATGTATTGTGTCGTTTACTGCCACAACACAGCGCGGAAGAGGAAGGATTACGCTGTCTCTTTGGTCGGACGTTGATAACACATATACAGGCTGTCGGTGAAAGTGAAATAGTAGAGGTACTGGATTTTTCCTGGCTACTCATTGACTTTCAGCATGACCTTGAAAGTCAAATAAAGGACAAGACAATCTTTTGAATAGATCCCTATACTTTCGACCTCGGAAACGAATCAAACGGGAAATCTTACGTTCAGTAACAACTAACCTCTACTATGTTACTTACATCATACCCCTTGAATATTCCCGTACCGGGACTACCTGATGACACTCTATAGCTGATCTACTTGTATTGTCCTTATTATAGGTGTTATTTGATTGTAAATTAAAATCACCAAAGGTACTACGTTAGCACTAGTGACACACCTAATAAATCGAATGTGATAAAAGTACAAAGTTACCATATCTCCTGCTCTGCCTCCCCAATATCG